AACTTTCATATACAATAATATCACTAACTATTGTCACCATGCTGTACTTTACACCTCCATAAAGTTATTTATTTTATAACTACAAGTTTGTACCTTTTGATTTTTTTTAGCCATTTGCCCACCCCCTGCCTCCCACATCTGACAACCACCAATCTGTTCTCTGTATATATATTACCTTGGTTTTGGTTGTCTTTCTTGTTCATTTTTTTGTGATTTTGAGATTTCACATACAAGTGAGACCATACTGTTTTTGTCTTTGCCTGCCTTACTTATTTCACTTACTATAATGCCCTCAAGATTTATCCATGTTGGCAAAATGTTACTCTTTTTCATGGCTTTCATTTTAAAGCTTTCAGCTTTTCATCATTGAATTTGTTAGCTGCGTGCTTGTCATATATGGTCTTTACTATGTTGAGATACATTTCCTACATACTCATTTTGTTGAGTTTTTATCATATATGGATGTTGATTTTTGTCAAATACCTTTTCTGAATCTATTAAGATGGTGATACGATTTTTAATTCTTCATTTTATTAACGTGATATAGCACAATGATTACATATGTTGAACCATCCTTGCATCCATGGATTAAATCCCACTTGATTGAAGATATACAAGTCTTTTCATGTATTATTAAATTTGATTTGCTAATGTTTTGTTGAGGCTATTTACACCTGTGATTATCAGGCATATTAGAAATATGTTAAACAACATTTTTTTTAAGGGGTGGGGCGCCTGGGTGGCTCAGTCAATTGAGTGTCTGATTTCGGCTCAGATTGTGACCTCACGGTTTGTGGTTTTGAGCCCTGCATTGAGTTTTGTTCTGACAGCACAGGGCCTGCTTTGGATTATCTGTCTCCCTCTCTTTCTGCTCTTCTCCTGCTCTTTCTCTCTCTCTCTTTGAAAAATGAATAAACATTAAAAAAAGAAAGATGTCAAAAATTAATGACAATACACATTGTGATAGAGCTATGGGTAAATTATTGTCTATCTTTAGATGTTTTTGTGATTCCAAAAACAATATAAAAACCTTGAAAATTACTTATTGGATGGATAACATATGCCCTTATTGTAGATATTTGATAACTAACATAATGCATATTTTTCAAATTTATTATTCCTCCCTAGACCTTCAGAAACCACTCAAAATTATGTTTCAGAAATATAGTGGGCAAGCACTCATCATATAATATCCTAAAAAGGGGAGAACCTTATTAACAATATTAGTCTTGCTAATGGTGATCTTAATTTTAAAAAAGTACATGGTTGCAATTTCAAGAGTAAGACCCACAATATAATATTTAATATTGTTTATTTCTGCTGTTATAGGACTTTATGTTATTTTTATCTGTGTGCGTGTACGTGTGTTCGTGTGTTAACGTTTATTTGTTTTTGAGAGACAGAGCAGGGGAGGGCCAGAGATAGAGGGATACAGATTCTGAAGCAGGCTACAGACTCTGAGCTGTCAGCACAGATCACGATGCTGGGCTTGAACCCACGATCTGTGAAATCATGGCCTGAACCGAAGTCGAATCCTTAACCAACTGAACCACCCAAGTGCTCTAATTTAATTTGTTTTTAAACAACTGAAATTTCTTTATGACAAGATTTCTGAAAATAGTTTTGATATTTATTTTTAAGAGAACCTTGAGATATTTTAGAAAATATATTTTATAACTCCAAAGTATTATCTTGTATTCAGAAAATTATCTTATATATTTTATAAAATATGTATATCCTTATTACAATTTGAGCCTGTGATTCTAATTTACTACTTAAATTTTATTCTAATATTTAACTTCTCATCAAAACAATAACTATACCCATAAGAGTTTTCATTTCATTTTCCCTTAAATAATATTCTTTTTAATTTGTCCATGCTTCATGGAAAAATATGTTAATCTTCAATCCAATACCTATCAAAATAACACTCACATTCTTCACAGAGCTAGAACAAACAATCCTAAAATTTGTATGGAACCAGAAATGACCCCAAATGACCAAAGCAATCTTGAAAAAGAATTGTGTGTGTGTATATATATATATACATGTATATATGTATGTATATATATATATAATTGTGTGTATATATATATATTCCATTGTGTGTGTGTATACACACACACACACACACACACACACATACACACACACACACACACAGGAATATTACTCGGCAATCAAGAAGAATGAAATCTTGCCATTTGCAAGTATGTGGATGGAACTAAAAAGTATTATGCTAAGCGAAATTAGTCAGAGAAAGACAAATATCATATGACTTCACTCATGTAAGGACTTTCAGATACAAAACAGATGAACATAAGGAAAATGAAGCAAAAATAATATAAAAACAGGGAGGGGTACAAAACATAAAAGACTTTTAAATATAGAGAACAGAGGATTGCTGGAAGAGTGGTAAGAGGTGGATAGACTAAATGAGTAAGGAGCTTAAGGAACCTACTGAAATCATTGTTGCACCATGTGCTAACTAACTTGGATGTAAATTATAATAAGTAAATAAATAATAGAAAGTTTAAAAAAAGAACATAAATAAATAATATATTTTAGTCTTCCTTTGGAAGCAAAAAATTAACACCTAATAGTAATTTTTCCCAGTTCAAAGTCTTCTCACTGATGTATTATCAAATAGTCTAAAAGTTTTTATTCTGTTATGTTCATAACATTTCACCAAACACCTATGTGTATAATTTCAGGCAAATATTAGTTGAACAAAGTCACCTTTCCTATATTCAGACCAACTCATACCACATTAAAGTTTTTTATCTCCTAGAAAATGAAACTCTGTACAAATGTCTGCATAGAAATTTTAAAATGCAGTAAAATATTTGGGATTTTTAAATAATACTGATGATAGTGTTTTGTCTACATTTACCAATGTAGGTCCTAAAGGATCAGGTTGGTAGAAGAGAGGAGATACTATCCCAAGCTGCTACATTCACACTGCAGTGCTTTTTTATAGTATATTTCAAGATGTGTTTACAACCACCTTGACATTTGTGAGGGTCAGATTCAGGAATAGTTACTAAATCAGTGTTAAATGTTTTGTCTCTTTTATTACCAATTAATCAAGTGATCTTTATAAAACATCCAAACTGAGGTCACCCACAGTCTTTCCTTTTTTTTCCCTCTAAAATAATTGAGAGAAAATAGTTTATAATATGTACTTTGAGAATCCTTTTAAGAACATGAGTAAAATTTGACTATTTTCTAAAAGATAATTTGAAGGAAAGACCCTTATATTTGATCATGTATACATAGTTTTTACAGGAAAAGGGATAATAGCTTATATGTCTAACGAGCTTTTATAATAAATAAGAGATTATCATGTCAATGGAAATAGGCAAGAAATAAAAAAAATAAGAATTTACACGAGCTAAAACCAGCCAAAATTCATTTTATGTTTTTTTTAATTTTTATTCATTTGAGAGAGAGAGAGGAATGAGAGAGAGAGAGGTGGGGGCATAGAATGAGAGAGAAAGAGACAGAGAATCCTAAGGAGGCTACATGTTTGGTATGGAGCCCAGTGTGGGACTCTATGCAATGACTCTAGGTCATGACCTGAGCCAAAATCAATAGTCTCACTCTCAACTGACTGAGCCACCCAGGGACGCCAAAACTCATTTTAAAAAGACCTATCTAGTGCAAATTAAAGTGTAAAGGTGGTAATATTTATCTGGTAATTAGTATTAGATTCAATAAAAATTTATTGGCCAAATAAATGAAGCAACAGTTTTCACCCATCAAATTGGAAAAAACTTTTAAATGATATTATTTCTTACAATTGACAGGATATCCAAACAAAAAATAATAGTATCAGGCAACTATCATTTCAAACTAGTGATATTAAACATCTAGATTTTATTTTGGCATATAGCTTTTGGATAAAACTAAGAGAAATACATTTTAGAACAGAATACAATCATTCTCAAACAAATTTCACTTTAAAAAACAGTTGACAATAATGTTAATATAAATGATAAGCCAATATTGGCTTAATCTATAAAAGAAAAATTATTTTAAACTGTATCATTTAAACAAACAAGAATTAGAAAATAAGAAATTCTATATTAAGGTATATATAAATAGATATGAATTCCAAATATTTCTATCCTTCATGAGAAAATTTTACCCAGTATATGGTCAGATGGAAATAGAAAAGAGCAAAAAGCAGATACTCTAAATAAGGTCACTAAACAGAAAGTGGGATTTCTTCTTCCCCATCAGCCTTACTTCCAAAGAACGGTAGAAAACTCTGAGTCAGAAAAGAAAAAGTGCCAATATACCCTTGTCATATTATTGACACTTCTTAATGTTTGGGGTTCTCCTAAAAAATTATTTTCTTCATCTACAATTTATCTATGGTGCCCAGAAACCACTGACTTCCTGGAATTTTTATTAAGAATTCCACATTCTTGCCATGTTTTTCAGATACTGTGAACTCTGCCAATAAATTCTAATAAATTTTCACTTCTTTTCTTTCAATAACATCTTAGAGAGTATGATTCAGACTCAAATTAATCACCGATCATGTTAATGCTTCTTAGGAATTTACTTCTGATACCCCTTATTATATTAAATCAAACCTGATAGTGTGCTAGATCATTGCTCTGGTGGGTTTTCACAAAAGCACTGGTATTTAATATGATTTATACCTGGTTTTCTGTTAATATCTTTGCTTATTGTATGCTTTACTTTAAAAATAGACAGTCTTAGCAAATGGCATCCTCTTAAAATATATCATTCTCTTAAAATATTTTACAGGAAGCATTTTAGAGTAAAATGTGTTACTTATTTTATATTATAGTCACATAAGAGTGAACAAGAACAATTTATTTAATTTATAGTCAAAAATTAATACTTAACTGGTAGTTTGGAAAAAGTATGCATACATACATGTGTTTTGCTTACATAAAAGATCAATTATATGCCAAGATTATCAGGAAATTTAAAGACGGTTGTTGTTGTTTTTTGTTTTTAAGCTTTGCAGCAAAGGGGCAGCTCTAGGAAAACCATTTGAAGCATCTGCTGAAAATATAGCAAGTGTGGCAAGTTTCATTGAGACAAAGCTTGTTACATGCTATCTACGCATGAGGAAACCGGACCTTGCCCTGAATCACGCACACAGGTAAAATGAAGTATTCATAACTGCAAGTAAATGCTGTTCATGCAAGGAGAGGGCGCTATGTGAGCTTGTATAATCAACTTCCATTTCATTTAAATTTAAAGACAAAACAAAAATCTTTTCTTTAGTACTTGATTTATGTTAAACTAGATGATCATAGAGATGGCAAAGGGCATCTCAAACCCTAATGGAGAAAATAAATACATAGACAACTACACATAATGCAGGAGTGAATAAGGTAAGGGGTGAGAAGGATGAGAAGGATTTCCAAAATTGCACGAGATATGGAGAATGGTGAAGGGAAATTCAAACTATAAACCGTAAGCAAAGACTTGACAGTGCATGGCTTATGTGATGATAGGATGTCTGATTCAGAGGATGCTTTGCAAGAATTGATGTGACAGCTCTCCAAAGGTGTGAAACACTTTTTATTATTGTCCTTAAAGATTTCTTTTCATATTTCTATCTTTCTTCAGAACTCTGTATCATTTTGTTATGTTGTGGCTTCCCAGAAGCCCCCCAGGCCTCTTTTTCTTCTGAAAACATGAACCTTTCATATGTCCTATTTCCTAAATGTCGAACTCTTACCATGGGTAATAGCTTAATACACAGCAAAGATAAAGTGATTATGTTATGCCTTTCAAATAACTGTTTCCTTAGAATGCCTCCTCCCTTCCTTGCCTAACTTTGAGCGATTTACCTAGAACCTTTTGTCTTGTCCAATCTCTGATCTCACACATTTTGCACTTCTTTTGGAAACAAATAACAAAACCAGTATCAACATGAAAAGATAATACCTGTCTTGTTAAAAACCGCTAGGAAACCTAACTATCGGTTATATTAAGACCCATCTTGTGAATGGGAGATATTCCAGCATGGGAAACATCCTTTACAGCTCCACATCCATGAGGATTTAAAAGATCTACTCAAGATCCCTCACAATCATAAGGAATCCTCAAGTTTGTAGGCTTACGCTTGCCATCAAGGACTTGCAGACAAAATCTCTGAAATTCACAAGATAACCTGTTTGAAAGAAATTTTCCTGCTTAAGTAAACTACAGGACCTAAAGGCAGAGTCTCTCTTTGACACCAAAAGAAAATTCAACCCAATACTTTCTGGAAACATTTTATGCAGTCATAGTTTCCAAACCTAATATTGGGATATACAGCCTGTCAAATAATTTTATTCCATTTCCATTTGAAAGTATCAATATTGGAAATGTAACATATATTTCACTATGTCAAAATATTGGAATTCCTTGGCTACTTGGGTGACTTGTAATCACAAGAGAAAAAATATTTGAAATTGGAACTGACTCAGAAAATCTATAAGCATATGTAAACAATAATAAATGGAGATGCACAGAAAGTAATTATCACCTTCTCCATGGTTTTCACCACACATAAAGAGGGCCACCAGCATGGCCAACTTGTTAAGAAAAATATCTCCTGGATATCAGAATGGATTTGATGGATTGCTAAATTATTTTTTTAAGTTTATTTATTTTTGAGAGAGTGAGCTGGGGAAGGGCAGAGACAGAGGGAGACACAGAATCTGAAGCAGGCTCCAGCCTTGAGCTGTCAGCACACAGCCCAACACAGGGCTCTAACCCATGAACCATGAGATCATGACCTGAGCCGAAGCTGGAAGCTTTGCTGACAGAGCCACCCAGGCACCCCTAAATCATTTTTAATAATAAAAGAATTCCAAATGCCATGATCATATCAAAACTCAACTCAGTGTTATAAAAATAAGTGATGAACATAAATTTAAAATTACACTGTAATCCAAATATAAGAAACAATAAAATGCTACAGATCCTAATAATGCTTAAAAGATAAACTTCAATAGTTTCACTGTTTAGATTTAGCAATTTTTGTTTTAAAACTAAGTGCGTTCTTTCAAGACTTGAAAATTGCTGAGGATAATTTAATGGTGAATAGTAAAATGATCTTACCAATTACATTCGGGTTAACTTTTATCTTTTTTTCTATTGTAAAATAACTTTTGCTTCTGTTTCTAAATTTAACGTTAAGTAAGAAATGGAAATCAATAAGGGTTAAACAGTCAATTCATATAATTAATAATGCACCAAGTCAAATCATTTTACTGGGCTTGTCATACTGCAGAACTGTAACAGTCAGTGCATATGATTCTAATATTAAAGTGTTTTTAAAGATCTCAGATTTTAAAACACAGACTAATATATAATCAATAAATATATTTCTCAAAATAAATTAATTAATTAATCAGAATTCTCAATCTATAAATAGCTACAATCATTAGTTATACAATGAATGCAGAACTTTGCTTTTGTATTATTACCACATTGTGATGGTTGATACTAATCATGAATCAAAATTAAAATATTCCTTTTTTGCATTTATTTGCATTTGCTAAAGCATTCTTTCTTTAATTTTATGTAAATGTGAGGTCTGCTGCATATCTTTAGGAGATTTGTTAGCACAAAAATTAGCTTAAAATCCATCATGTAGTTTGCTTCTGATAGAACTAAGTGCATATTGTTTTGTCATGTGGAAGACTACAGAAACCATAACTTTATGGTTTTAAGTTCAATAAAGATAAATTTTGCAATTAATCAGCTGTGTATTGTTATTTAAAATATGAAAATAACTGATATAAAGGCTCTAGAAACAATTATTAACAATTTTTTTCCTAATAACATGTCCAAAGTGGCACAAGCGATGCCTAGATTCACCAAACACAACAATTCTGTGCTTACCTCATCAGATTAGTGCCATTGTTTATCAGGAAGTGTTTTGAATATTCCTATGATTGATTTCTACTCTCATCAAGAGTAGAAATCCTGCTATAACTCTTTTTCTATAATATAATTATATTTTGATACATATAATTGTAAAGATTTTAATGATGCATGCCATTTTTTTGCATGTTTCTCAGCTGTAGATTCTTGTTTGTTTTTGTTGCAGAATTTTGATGCCATAAGGTAGCAAGCAAGATGAAATCTAAAATACCAAATATGTAGAAAAAGATCCTATTTTCAAAATTTTTTTATAATGGTGGCATCTACATTCATTCATTCATTCATTCAACAAATATTTATTGAGTGCCCACCAATACCCTGTGCTATGCTAGTGGGGAACCAATTGTAAACAGGAAATGTATGGTATTTATACACATTAGAAGAAATGTCAAAGTGAAAAACAAATGATTATTAATAAATACAGGGGCTCCTGGGTGGCTCAGTCAGTTAAGCGGCGGACTTCGGCTCAAGTCATGATCTCGTGGTTGGTGGGTTGGAGCCCCGTGTAGGGCTCTGTGCTGACAGCCAGTTCAGAGCCTGGAGCCTATTTCAGATTCTGTGTCTCCCTCTCTCTCTGACCTTCCCCTGCTCACGCTGTCTCTCTCTCTCTCTGTCTCTCTCCAAAATAAATAAAACATTAAATAAATAAATAAATAAATAAACATGAAATAAATAAATACATACATACAAACATACATACATACATGAGGGAAAATTATGTGATAAATCTATGAAGGAAATAAGCATAATTTCATGTTCCAGAGGCAGTATAGTATATTGAATCAAAGAAGAGACTGTAATCTGACTGCCTAGGTTCAAACTTTGACTCCTCCACTCATTAGTTAGCCTGAGTTTAATTTTCTATGAAGTTAGGTTATAATAATAGTACCTACTTTACAAATATTATTTCACTAAGTTTTGTGAAAATTAAATATAAATCCATGAATTTTTTATTCCATCCAATGCAGAGTTACTGGTATTGGACTCATCTTTCTGCTATAAAAAAAACTATAAAGCTGGACCAAATATATTAAGCAACTGTTTTCAGACATTGAACAGTGGTCACAGCAGGACTATGATGCTTGAGAGAAGGAAAACACACATGGTGAGCCCCACAATTTTTCAGTTTTTTTTTGGGGTTATTTTCCTGCCCTAATTCAGGGAGATGGATATCAAGTTAAATTGTCTCACTGAACCGAGGAGGCAGAGATTAGAATACCAGGATGAAAAAGAAAAAAAGCTGTAATTTATAGGGTAAGTGACCAAAGAAGAGGTAGCTGTGTGAGATCAGGGTAGAAGTCTGCATGAGGATTTATTACAGGTTCTTGGCCCATGTGAGGAGTGAGGCTCCATATAGCAGAGATTGCCTGCTGCAACACTAAATGCTAAACAGAAATATGAGAGAACCTGCCGTGATGGAACATGGTGGAGTGCCCACGTGAAAAGACCTCACTGGGGACCTCAGGCATTCAGTCAAGACTCCAGAAAGGCCATATTTAAGAGTAAGGACCATGACCTATAGAAAGGACCACATATTAGGATTAAGCTTAAAACCAAAATAGACCTGCCCTAACAAAGACTAAAGCTAAGCATGACAAGAAAAAGTGGATACACCATTTAATTACTTGATAAGGAAAAAAAAAAAACAAATTTGCAGGGATGATGTCACAATCTGATTCCTTATACAGTTTCATCCAAAATGCCCATCATGAAATTAAAAATTAATACACATGCAAAGAAGTAGTTAAATCAGACTCATACTTAAGAAAATAAACAAGTCATAGAAACAGACACCAAGCTGCCCCAAATGTTGGAATTGTTAGAGAAAGATTTTAAAGAAGCTATTAAAAATAGGTCCAAGGCCCTAATTTCAAACTATATTACAAAACTAACAAAGAAATCAAACCTGAGTGGTATTGGCATATAAACAGACACAGAGATCAATAGAACAGAATAGACAAATAGCCCAGAAATGAACCAACATATATATGAAAATTAATCTATGATAAGGATGCCAAGAACATACATGGAAAAAGGATAGTCTCTTCAACAAATGTTGCTGAAAAAACTGGATATCCATGTGCAGAAGAATGGAATTAGACCCTTATCTTATACCACATACAACTGAAAATGGATTAAATACTTAAAAATTAGATCTGAAAGCATAAAAGTCCTGGAAGAAAAGTAGGGGAAAATCTCCTTGACATTGGTCTTGGC